CATGCAATCACTAATAGAACGAGTAAAAGAAAAAGTATAAAATTCTGAACCGTAATTCGACATAAATCAAGGAATTGACCAAAGGTTTCGGTGAACCGGCTTCATATCGCCTTGCCATGAATGTATATAGACGGAATAACGTCTAGATCTTGAAGTTTGAAGTCGGTTTTCACCTAATTCAGGCCTAGTACTTGCCAAAAATATGCAAGTACTAAGTGATACTAAAAATCGTGTAAGTAACACGGAGATGGAGCAGATATGGTAGGCAAATTATGGAGAGATTCCATATTAGAACTGGAGTTGGGAGATTTAGAAGAAGCGGCTACTAGGGTTTGAGAGGAGAAGAGAAAACAGATGGAGGGAAACGAGGCGGCGATCTTTAGGGAAAATGGGGATTAGGGTTAGAGGGTGAGGGGTAATATAAAACGGGTAGGTTAATTATGGATCGTTGATCATTTGGGATCAATGGCCAGGATCACAAGGGAAACGGGGCGGGTTATTTGAGACGGGTTCCGTCCGGGTTTGAGACTAAGGGTCGTTTGGCTTTGGGCTGGGATGGACTGGGCTAAGGTTTGGGTAGTTTTGGGCCACCAATGTGGTCCAAAATTGGTTAGAATGGGCTATTATTTAAATACCCAAAATTTTATCAAAATGATTTATAAAAAATGCTTAATAAATAAATAAAAATATAATTTATGCACTGAAATGCTTAAAATAATAACTTATTATTATAAAAATATAAAATATGCTATTTTGACATAAATAATATAAAATAAAGAGCTCTTATGTATGAATATATGCCATTATTGTAAAATTGGATAAATAGCTTAAAAATGCTACTGTAATTATATGGAATGAAATAAAATATTTGAAACATATATCATAGGTACAAAAATAATTATTTTAGATAACTAAGTCATCACAAAATAATTTAAAAGGATAATTTAAATACAAGGAAAAATTAATTTAAAGGTCTAACAATTATGGAAAATTATAGAAAATGCTTGTATAGGTTTGTATACTAAATAATGATGCAAATATGCTATTTTGAAGGTATATATATATTTTGAAAAATATGAGAGCAAAATTGGGTATCAACACTAGCTTATTTGTTTATTCTATTATTTTGTAGTCTCTTCATTTTTAAACTAACTGTCTCTTATTTGTTTATTCTATTATTTTGCAGGGTTTGTATTCATCAGTTCAAGAATATCTTCCTGAATGTTAGCATAGAATGTGTGCAAGATATATTCTAGCTAACTAGCAACAAGAATGGAAGGGTATTGAGAGAAGAAATGTATTTTGGAGTTGTGCAACGTCAACTTATGAAGCTGGACTTAAAAGCAAATTTGGACAAGCTAAGTAAGCTAGGTCATATGAAGACATGATAAACTATAATCCTGAGAAATGGAGCAAAGTAATATTCAGAACTTCTTCCAAGTGTGACAATGTGGATAATAATATGGCTGAAAACTTCAATGCTTGGGTATTGGATCCTAGGCACAAGAAATGCTTGAAGAAATTAGAACAAAGATAATGAATAGGCTCACTAGAGTAAGGGCATTTGCAGATATTTGGAATGAAGGCATATCCCCAATGGCAATGATGGTATTGGTTATAAGTGTGGAGAGGTCAATGAAGTGCACAATACACTGAAATGATGATGTTGGGTATGAAGTTAAGGGGGCTACAAGGATTAAACACATTATCAAGTTTATTGAGGGAGTGTGTAGTTATAGAGCTTGGCAACTGAATGGGATACCTGTGCACTTGGTGTAACAGCAATTCATCACAAAAGGCTTAATCTACTTGACTTCATTTCTGAGTGTTACAAGAAGGAGACCTACCTAAAAGCGTATTCTCATTTTATACATCCAGTATCATGTATGTAAATGTGGCATGAGCCAACAAATACAAAGGTTGAACCACCTCCTGTTAGAACAATGCCTGGAAGGCCTATAAAAAAAGGAGGTTGAGGAGATAAAAAGCAATGGAAAGCTTACAAAGAGAGGAATATCAATGAGTTGCTCAATTTGTAAGTTCACATTTCATAATAGAAGAAGATGTCCAAACAAACCTCAAAGCACTTCAGAGGCACTTTCTATCCATTTGATAGTACTTTACAATTGCTTTCTGTTAGTTGTTACTTTATAGTTGTTTTCTTACTAAGTTAAAGTGATGAAAATAGTTATTTTCTATTGGTGTTTCTGTTAGTTTGAATCACTTTGAATGAGTGATGAAAGTAGTATTTTCTAATGAACACTATGTTAATTGATGAAAGTAGTTTGAATCAGTTATGGAAATAGTTGTTTCTATTAGTTTGAATACTTTGAATCAGTTATGAAAGTGGGATGAATCAGTTGCTTTCTGTTAGTTTTCTGATGAACACTACTTTATTTATGTTTATGCAAAGGGAGTGTCTCACTCACAAAAATCAACTTATAAAAAGAGATCAAAGGCTAACTCACAAGCGTATACTAGTAAGAAGAATGCTAAAAGCAAGGGTGGTAAAGAAAGAGTCAATAGCAAGATGGTGCAGAACTCACACACCTCAGATGTGCAGCAATCTCAGGTTTCAGATGTTCAACATTCTCAGGTTTCAGATATGCAACAATCTCAGGCAAGCAACATAGGTGTTCTTGCTGCATTTAAGAGGCCAAGAGTAGTGGGACATGGAGTATATGTTAGCAAAAGTTGCTATACATATGATAGAGGTAATGAGTAGTTTGGTGTGCTAATTTTGAGATTGCAGCTTTTACTTAGTTGTTTGATATATATATTTTTTCACTTAATTTTCAGCAAGGGAGGGTTGTTAGTAGGGTAATCAACAGTGGAGCAGTGGAAAGTTCACCCGTAGTAACTGATGATCTTGGTTATAAACCAAGTAAATGCCTGAAATGGAAGTGAAAGCAAGCAATCAAAACTAGACAACTTCAAAACAGAAATGATTTACTACAATATATAAGGTCAAAATCACCAAAAGATAGTGATAAAACTGGAGGTTTTTAAACTTCGGCATTACTCTATTATGGTTAGGAATTGATGTAAAATAGTACTTTGATTATGGATTGGATAATATTTTTGCGGTACAAGTTATGACGTAAACTATTAAACTTGTTTTACTTTTATACTTTTGGAAAGCAAAATTAATGTAAAATTAATTAGTTCTATGCCTTTTGAGCTCCAATACAATGTGTTATTTCTAGCCACAACATAATCAACAGAACCAAAAACAAAAGGGGAATCGTTCACCTCTAATTCAAGATACCTCAAATAAAATGCCACAACTTAATCAACTACTTTTTACCTAATACAAACAAGGTTCATGGTTACACAACACCTCCTAACATTGAACAACCAAAAATACACATTGAAACCTAAACTAATAATAAGAAACATTTTCAAAAATTTCCTCTTCTTCAATTCAACCTCAAGTTCCATTTTATCCTTATGTAAGCCAAGAATTAACGCTTTTGATTGGCCATGAAATTCTAGATCATACCACTGAAAAAACCCACAAGCCACACGATCCTTAGCCAGAAAATTTTAACCAAGCCATTAGAAATAAAATGAAATCTTGGCCATAATATATCACATAACATATGATGATTTGAAAGATGATTACCCCTAGTATTTGCATCCGGAAAAAACGTCTTCCTGAGTTAGCATTTGTCATTGATGTTCTCAAAGAAGCAGGCTGCCCACAACCACAAAAGATATTAAACCTCATGCTCTACAAATACTTGAAAGGGTATTCCTTCTTTCAAATAAATTTGGGTAAGAATGAAGGATGGATAAAACGAGATTCATAAGAAATAAACTCAATAATAACAAGAGAGAGAGGGAATTTCAAATGGATTCTGATGAAGAAATGGAGAAGAAATGTGGAAAATGGAGAAGAAACGTAAAAACAATGGTGAAGGAAGGTGTAATATAAAGAAAAAGAGGAGAAAATATAATTTTTTTTAAAAAGAGCTAATTAGCCGTTAGATTTTGTCAGGTGGGCCCATTTTAATGGTTATTGTCAGCCTTCACGCGCTCTTAAGCGATTTATTTCACACAATATGCCATATAAGCGACGATGGAGTTTTATTATGAAGGGGGATATGGTTTAGGGAGTTTTCGGGGATATGCGATAGTTTAGGTAGAGAATTGACAATGATTGTATAGTTTAGGCGGGTTTGAGTATATTAACTCTATAATAAAATATGTAAGATTACTCATCAAAATGATATATAAAAATGTCCCCACTTAGCCGTGTCTAATGGTTAATTTGTGTTACTCTCTTTAAAAATTCAACTTTTCTATTTTTCCTTTATTTTCTTTATATTATAGCCCTCTTCCTCTTTTTCTTCTTCCTTTCCAAACTTACGGGTTTCATTTGAAAAGTTTTTTTCTCTTGTTTTTTCAGAAATTATCTTCCTTCTTCATTTTGGTCCTCTTCTTTCAACACTATATAGTCCACCAAAATCTCATAATTTTTAACAAACCCTACTGAAATTTTTACCAAACCCTAAACTTTTTATCCCAAATCTCGTATTAAATTGAAATTCCCAATAAAATCGAAGGTTAATGAAAAAAATACAATGTTTAATCGAAGTTTAATGACGAAAAATACGATTGAGACATGATGTAGCCATTATTGGAGGACTTGGAAGAGAATTCTTTAAAAAATAAAATGACAGTGTGCATATCCCTTCACCCTCTTTTTTTTAAACCCTCCAAATATTTACCCATTTAATTATTTTGATTATTAGTTAAATTTTTTAATGAAATTGATATTTAGATTAAGCTGAGTTAATAGAAGAGTGTATTACATGTACCATTAAAAAATTAATAAGTTTTTTTTAATTATATAAGAGTATATAGTTAAGGGTGATTTTAGTGATACCGGATAGTTTAACTAGGTAAACGAGATAGCTTAGTTTTTTTTAAAAGGTGTATTACCTCTTTAGAAAAAGGCTTTAAAGTAAAACGGAAAACTAATAGCAGCCCAAACCCGATTAGTAGAATCCGATAGTATTGAAAGACCAGTGGAGTTTCCCAGCTCATACCTCCTGCCGCTGACTGACCATTTCTTCAAACAAAACAACAGAACATCCTCAACAGAGAACAAAAAACGAAGAATAAAGGATGCCGTTGAGTGCAACAATGGTTGGAGCCCTTTTGGGATTAGGCACCCAAATGTATTCTAATGCCCTCCGGAAACTTCCTTACATGCGCCGTATGTATTCTTAAACATTACCCATTATTTTATTTTTGAAGTTTTAAATAAAAGTTTTTGAAATTTGGTTCTGACTTTTATTTTTTGTTTTGGTATTTTGTAGATCCGTGGGAGCATTTGCTGGGTATGGGAATTGGAGCAGTGGCTACTAATCAGATGGTGAAATGGGAAGCTAAGAGTAATGAAGATCTTGATAAGTTGCTTGAGAAAGCTAGGCTTGCTAATGAGCGCCGTTATTTTGGTATGTTTCATTTCAAGAATTTTTTTGTTGAGTGTCTGAATTTTTTTAGTACCCTTTATTTGTATTTTGTTTTTGTTTTTAATTTTTTTTTGAAAGTGTGCAATTACTTAAGAGAGATGCAAGATTTGAAATTGACAATTTGAAAGTATGCAATTAGATGAAGTTCTGCTACTGAAAGTGCTAAAAATTGAATCTTTTCTGCTCCCAATGCTTTGTTCTAGTGGTTAGAACGCAACTTGTGATGTGTGGTTAGGCGCACCTTACTGGCTTGAACCTTGCCACAGATAAAATCCTGGTATTTTAGTGAAGAAGGATAGAAGAGAGGGATCCACCGAGTTTCGAACCATCACACGGGATTTCTCGATTATCAAAAGTTTTTGAGTCTTTTCCTTCAATTTATTGAAGGATATACATGCGAAGGTGGGTAATGTCAGAAAATCCTTTTCCACGGTAATTTTTCAAAAAATTTAAGTTGTTTCCTTAAAATTTATCAAAGGCTAGGTTTGCTAATGGGTGTCATAATTTTGGTAAGTTTCATATCAAGAAAATTTGTGTCGAGTACCATTATCTTGGGTAGTACCCTTTGTTGTATTTGTCCTTTTTTTTTTCTTTTCTTTGTCGCGGTACCTATGGAATCACTTAGGAAAAATGAACAACAACAACAAACCCATTGTAATCTCACAAGTAAGGCTTGGGGAGGGTAGTGTGTGCACATGACTTACCCTTATCTTGTGAAGATAGAGAGGTTTTTCCCTTAGACCCTCGGCTCAAGTGAAATTTAAAAATAAGAAAATACGTAAACGATACTTATACTATTGGTATGGAACACTTAGGAACGATGCAAGATTTAAAATTGACAACTGGGGATTGCTAACTATTGAATTTTTTCCATAAAAATAATTGAAGGGTGTATATGTGAGATGGATATTTGAAAAAACATTTTATCTTTTTCAAGTACACTTTATTGTAATTCATTTTTTCTATTTATTGGTACCTATGGAACCACTTAAGAGAGATGCAAGATTTGAAATTGACAACTGCGGGATGTGAATAAATGAAGTTTGGTAACTGAAAGTGCTAAAAATTGAATCTTTTCCTTGAAATTTTTGAAGGATATATATATATGTGAGATAAGTAATGTGATAAAAGCTTTTTAATCTTTTTCAAGTACCCTTTATTGTATTTGTCTTTTTCTATCTATTGACAACTATGCAATCACGTAAGAGATGCAAGATTTAGATGAGGGCCATGAGGCTACTGAAAGTGCTAAAACTTGATTTTTTCCCCTTAAAATTTATTGAAATATGTATATATGAGATGGGTAATGTGTTAAAAGATTTGTATTTTAAACACTCAACGATTTCTTCTGATCTAGCTAAGCCTTGGGGGGCCAGAGCTATTCAGTACCTGTGCTGGTGGGAGGTAGCAGGTACTCGATGGAATAGTCGAGGTGCGGCAACTCGTGAGTCATTGTCATGAAAAAGGAAGATTCTTTATTGGGGTACGGGTTCAAACAATGTGGCGAACTTCGGATTGTCTACTTATCTTGGTTGATCACAATCGTTTGTTGGTAAAATAAATACTTACTCTTTTGGAGGACGTAGTTGGGCAATGGTGGGAGGTCAGTGCAATTGATTGAGGAATGCTTAGAAAATGTGGGAACTTTTCCTGATTATATTCCTGCAAGTTTTTAGGGATGTCTTTAATATAGTGAATCACCTATTTTGAACTTTAGAAAAGCTGTCTTCTAGGAATATGGATATTGTTGCCAAAGGAACAAAGAAAAGATACGGGAAGAAAGGTATCCCGAAGTTAGTCTTTCCTCTGTGTGGGTTAGGCGCATGTCACTGAATCAAACCCCGTTGTAGATAAAAATCTAGTATTTAAGCGGCGAAGGGTGTAGGGACGGTTCCATTATCCACCGAGTTTTAAACCATATGCCTCCGGCCCTTGGGGATTTCCTGATTATAAAAAAAAGTCTTTACTCAGCCAACAACCCATATATTTACAGTTACCAATTGGGCCGTTATCTCTTTTGCTCCCTTGCTACTTCTACTGATTGACTTTCTGTCTTCTAGAAACAGGTATCTGTCGCCTCCACTGTTGAAGTTTAAAAAAAAAAAATTAAGTACTGGAGTTACAGAACCAAGATTGATGAATTTAGAATTAGATCAGACTGAAATTCTCATGAAATATAGCTTCCATATGCTATTCATATTTTTTTTATACACGACATGGCGTGGTTGTCATAGACTTGATGATGAAAAGAAAAACATTAAGACTTATACTTGATTATATTTTGTTTTTCACCGACATAGGGTGTAGTTTATGTTATGTGGACTTACGTGTTGTTTGGTTTAAATCTGGTATCATCGTATGCTGATAGTTTGGGCTTGGGCATTAAGTTTATTACTGAGGGTTGTTAAATCTGATGGTAATCGATTGGGCTCGGCCAAAAGAGGGAAAACAACATCAGACCCCAACCCTGTCTCACAATTTGAATTAGAGTTGATGGTAGCCTTTTTGCCTAAAGAGACAGAGCCAAGTGGGGCCATTTCCTCTGGCATAGAAGTACTCATTACCTTACACGGCCCAAGTAGTGAACCGATTAAAGAGTAACTGTGTTAGTTCATCTCCTACAAGTTCGTTCTTACGCAGGAGAGTATTCCTGTCATACAGGGATAGAGTGCAAAAAATTCTTCAATAGCAGTTTCGATCTCCCTAGGGATCTTAGGAGGACCAGCTTTCATCCACAATCTAACCCGACACCTCTCTTTCATATCCAAATCAGTCTCTACCAGCCCACCAAGCATGTCTCCAATCAACTGAAAAATATTGGGGGACCATAGTTGGAGAGGGAATCCATACGATCTTTCCCAAGTAGTTTTTGGGTCCTTTTCACGCATCAGGGGATCACCATTTGAGCTGCAACTCAAGGCCTTTCCAAAACCACCTAACCATTTGGTTCTATTTGCCTCCTCCACCGAGTGAAAATCAACCCATGGCTAAGATCCGAAATACCACATGTATTAAATGTCCACTTTTGCAGTTCGGTAGAAACCTTAAAGTACTCACAGTGCAGCTGTTCCACTAGGCATCTACAAGAGTAGCAATTTTGGATTTTGTTGTTTCTGCATTTATCAACAATCTATTAAATCTACTGGCCAACTGAGACCCTTGACAACACGTGTAGCTCTTGAAAGGCTGTTGAAGTGTTAGACTGGAGTTGGGAGTGTGTCTTTTTACAACAAACCTCCATTCTTTGGCTTCTATGTCTGACCATCCAGCATACAGTGAGAACTCAGCGAGAATGCTGAACCTTTTCCTTTGTCTATACATGGTGAAAATTCTCAAGTATTTGTTGAATCTATAGAAGTTCTGAAAAACCATGACTTATTTCTCCTTCCTCACCAATCTGCTATTGGCATCACCAGGTTTTTCAGAAGCGACAACTGTTATCTGGCAACTTCGTAACATGAGTAGTTTAGAGCAACAATTCCTGCTTACAAAATCCAGCTTTCTCTTAATCCACTTATGCCAGACATCATGTTTAGCGGCTTTTCTTTGATCTCAAAAGACTTACGACCAACTATAAAAAGGCCTCTTCTATCCATTGGTGAGGGAAAGCAACTAGTTTTTAGAAGCTATCTTGCTCGGGCTTTTCAAAAATGCCGCCGGATGCATCATGCATGTCAAATCTTCCAAAAGTAGTGCATTTTTTGAGGATCTGACATGAGTGCGGCACCATTTTTGAAGAGTTCAAGCAGCATAGTTTAGAAGATCACAAGTTGGATTATCTAGTGAAAACTGGTCAGTGAGGTTAGGTTTGCGGGGAGGTGAAAGATGGAGGAGAAACTTTGGTATGGGCTTGGAACGCTGGGAAGGTTAATTGGAGGGGAAGAGAAGGTAAGGCCTAACTCCTATGCTCTAAAACAAAATTCTTCGAAAAGACATATGAGGTTGTTCATTGGCCTCTTGTAATATTTTAATGATGCTTTCCTTTCCAACCATTCTACTGGCAATCTGGCATAGTACTATATTTAAACAATAGAAACATCTTATCAACACCCCAAAACCTAACTCTCCCCCATGCTTCAACGCTTCATTCTCCGAAATGAAATACGCTGCGTGAGAGACAACCAAATTTTCCCCATCTCTCTCTCTCTCCCCTCTCCGAAGAATCAGCAAGATACATATCCTCATCATCATCAGACACAAATGTTTGTTCCTTCGTCACAATTCCCTGTCCCTTGCCATCCACATCTGTTTGCCTCTTTATTTTCGTCCTCTGATGTCCTCCTACATCTCCTTCTTGAATTGCTATTCCTTTGTTGTAATGGGGAATCAAGCTAGAATTGTCTCCATATACAATTGCAGCATGTGTTAAATCAGCTAAACCAGGAAATATATTGCTACTCTATGTGGAAAGGGTCAGACACAACTGGGAGATCTGATGGTGGTAGCGAAGTGGATGGAGGCTGCTGGTCCATAAAGTCAGCAGCAGCATAGAATCTAGGGACGAGAATGGTGGCTGGATCTGACCAAGGAAAAGAAGGATATTCAGGAAAATCTAAAATTCCCCATTTTCATCCATTTCTCTTATCATTCGCAAACTAACATTTCAAATTGGAATTGTAAACTAAATCCTGCATCTGGATGTGCTCTATCCTGCTGAAACCACCCTGCAACTTTTTCCCTCAACATTTCCTAAAAGCTTCTCCACCCTATCAAATCGTCCATTTATCTGGTTAAAATTTTGCAATAAAGTCTCCATATGTTGGGCTATTTTTTCCATCATACTAGATTGTTGAACTCTTGGTCGATGCCTCCTCTCCTGTCTTGGCCTTTCTTTCTCCCTTTACCTTTTTGGACCATCGTTTTCAAATTTGTTTCCAAATATTTTTTTGATCATGCTGGTGGAAACAATGATATACAACTTTGGAGTTGGTTTCACTTCAACATCCCTAACTAACTGCATGATAGTAGTAGGGAAGAAAATTCTATACATATTCTTTTCAAATTTATAGGCTTGAATGTTAGTATCAATAATTCTACCAACATTTTCAAGCATTCTATCTTAGATGCTATATCTTAAAGAAAGCTTAATTTCATTTAAAAACCAATGTTGTTAAGAATTTCGCCTCGATAGACATTTGGTGTAGAAATTGTTATTGATTATCTCATGAAGGTTCTTTCTTTCTCCCCGTATTTCCTTTTTGGACTCTTAGATTTTTCAATCTTTTTCCATTTTGTTTTTTGATCGTATTGTTAGAAACAGCTATATACAACTTTGGAGTTGGTTTACTCCATCTTCCCTAACTAACATCGTGATAATAGAAGGGTAAATAATGCTACGAACATTTAAGTCTAATTTACATGTTTGAATGTTAGTATTAATAGTTCTACCAACATTGTTAGACATTCTATTATAGATGGCATACAATAAAAGTATTGTTGGAGCATATACTTTCGAATTGTAAGAACTTGGTAACAACCTAGTGCTAAGAAAAGCAAGGATGGCTCTGACAACATACCCAATGTTCCATCCCAACATGCTTTATCTTGCTCCAGAGCCATCATATGTCTAATCTATACAAAAAGGAAACAAGCTGGTATCTCCTTCGACATCTGCCTAATTAGTAGTTCTTGTAAAAATGTGAGTAATCTGGTCATCAACATTATCAAGATCATATAAGTGATTAATTTTCTTAGTGAAATAGGAGATGGTTTCGTTAAACCCTGATTTCTTCATCCTCTTTGTGCTCGAAACCTAAGTGCTCAAAACATATCTATATTGTTTTTGAGCCGGATACATCTAACCCAAGTTTTGATGCATCGACACTTGAGAAGTCTCCACATGACACGTACCATTCGATGCGTCGAGGCCCCTTTTCAACGCATCGAAAGTTGAAATTTTAAATTTTTTACTAGACTTTTAAAAAAAGGGACCGCTAGAATGTTGTAAAACCGTGGTGTCATTCTTCATTGTCCTTACTGCTGGAAAATCACCAGTACTAACCCTTTTTTCTTTCCTTTCTTTCACTAACTTCCGTGAGTCCAGAGAAAACATTGATTTCATGTACAATAAGGGGTTGATACACCAAAAAGGGGGTGAAATTTCACGTAGAAGGAGATTTTGACGAAACCATCTCGTAAATCATCATCAATGGCACACCTTTGTGCTCCCACCAGGCGATTTCTATATGGAATATGTGCTGGAATGCTACCAAGATTTGGGAAAGGGTTTGGAATTTTCAGCGGTAAGAAAAAAAATTGATTGTTCTTCTGAGAAAATTAATCACCTCTACACCCAAGGGTTGGCCTACTGGATGAGAACCTGAGGTCTCAGGCTCAAATTCCAGCGGAGACAAAAAATACTGGGTGACTTTTTTATCTGTCCAAGCTTTGGTGGATACAATTACCTGGTACTTGTTGCTAGTGGGAGGTAGTAGTTATCTCGTGGAATTAGTCGAGGTGTGCGCAAGCTGACGCGGACACCATAGTTATCTAAAAAAGATTGATCACCTCTATGATCTTGATAATATTGATGACCAGGTCGCTCATTTTTTTACAATAACTACGAATTATATAGATGTTAAGAGAGATACTAGCTTCTTTTCTTTTAGTATAGATTGGACGTATGATGGCTCCAGAGTAGGACAAAGCATGTTTGGACGGAACATTGGGAATACTGCCAGAGCCATCCTTGCTTTTTTTAGTACTAGGTTGATACCGAGTTCTCACAATACAAAAATTTATGCTCCAACAATATTTTTATTCTATGCCATCTATAATAGAATACTTGTCAATGTTTGTTAGAATTATTAATACTAACAATCAAGCATGTAAATTTAACTCAAATGTTTGTATTATTTTCTTCCCTTTTACCATCACGCTATTAGTTAGGGAAGCTGGAGTAAAACAAACTCCAAACTTGTGTATCATTATTTTTAACCACATGATCAAAAAATCTTTTTGGAACAAACTTGAAAAATTTGATGGCCCGAAAAGGCAAGGAGGGGGGAAGAAAGACCTTCATTAGATAATCACTAACATGTAGGATCAATAAATTCTTTCTAGAACTTGCACCAAATGTCTAGCGAGGTGAAATTCTTGACAATACTGATTTTTAAATGAAATCAGGTTTTCTTTGTTTCACTTTTCAGCCTCTTTGTTGTGACCTAAAAAAATAAAAGAAATAAATAAAATTATCAATCTCAAAAGGCTCATCATGACGAGGAGATGCAAATATTTTCCTAATTAAAGAATAAGCATAAACAAGATAAATATTTGGTGAGCTTGGAAAAATTCTTCCCTAGCATCTACAATGTGAGGTTTGGACAAAATGCAGAAGAGGAAAATGCTCTCAAACAAATTCTTCCAAAGTACATGGAGGTTGTTTATTGGCCTCTTACAATATTATAATAATGCTTTTCAGGTTTCATGGTATGAGATCCCACGAACTTTACATTTATATTTTAGGCAAGAAAAAAGAAGTTAAATGTTAGATATCAAATACGCTCTCCGTCCCAATTTATGTGGCGACGTTTGACTTGGCACGAAGTTTAAGAAATAATGACTTTGTATATTTGTGGTCTTAAGACAAGTCATGAACATATGTATGGCTATAAATCATCTCATTAAGAGTAAAATGAGAAGTTAAAAGTTAAATTGTTTCTAAATATAAAAATGCGTCATTCTTTTTTTGGATAAACTAAAAGGAAAGCGTGCCACATAAAATGGGACATAGGGAGTAGTACAAGAAATAAAATGACATGGTGTAAATTTCGAAAAAGGAAGACACTAGGAAACATGTCAAAGGAAATCCTAATTTTTATGGTTAGACTTCTAAAACTGTAAGTAATTTCCCATGTATTTCCGAGGTTGTCGAGTTGAATAAACTCAATTATTTCTGAAAGCGATGTGGGTTCCAGTACAGTGAGCTATAGCTGTGGAATTCTGATGCCTTGATGTCCTTCCCTGTGTAGCATTGAAGTAATGATTCCGGTGTAGACCCTGAGATTAAGATCCTGGATTCAAATGCTATCCAAATACTGATACTTATTATTAAATATGTTAACAAATCACTTGTAAAGAGGTGTTTGTTGTATCAGTTTGTGTTTCAAATAGCAGTTTAAGCATCGGGCAATAAAAAGTATTGTAATCGGTGTTGCTGATTAAAAGCCCCTATATTGTCATAACTAACAAAAGCAAGAAGAAATTAGCGCAGTTAATATGTTCTCCATTTTTCATTCTACGGATTTTGAACATTTTTAGATATAAATGCCATAAGCCTATTGCTTATTAAAATGTTAAATCCATTTTTTACTTTATCAAAGAAAAAAAAGGGATTTCAACATTTTGGTAAGCAATGCATGAAGATGACTTGTGAAATTTATATTTAAAATCAGGGGAACCCTTTAGAAAACTAGGCATGAAGAGTAGAAGCGCACTACTCTACCTAATTTGATAAAGAATAGAAGCATATTACGATACCAAAGGCTCAACAAAACTGATGGAGAAAGGATGCGACTGCCCTTATGTTCGACCATGAAATAGAATCAACTTTTTGTTTCATGTTTGTGTCAGTATGCTTTAAGGTGTGGGCATTCTGAAAGTTGCTCTTCTGGATTGTATTTTTCTGTTGGCGTGGCTTTCCCTTATGCTGTGTGTTTTCCGTTGCTAGATTCTTTGGGTTCTTGTTTTTCATTTGTTCTAATCTGGCTCGAAATTTTGTTGCAGATGATGAAGATTAATACTATTGGCGGTTTCCAGAGAGTGTTGTGACAGCAGCTTATGAAGGGTCAAGTTGTTTTCTTAAGCCCGTTGTTTCCTCTTTGTAAGGTTGCAGTACATTGATCTTTGTATTGGCGAATAACACTTGCAATAATCATATTTCAATGGCTTGCAAATGTGTTCCCTAATAATGAGATTATTCATAGTTCCCTATGACTCTTTGGATCATTATATGTTATGAAACTCAATTTTTTACACAAAGAAAAACTTCTTTTCTGGCCCATGCTCTAGGGTGTGTTGGAATTAGATTCACCTCGTAACTTTACTGTCAATATAGCTAGTAAGTACAGCTTTCTGGCAAGGGCTTGAGATTGTCAGGATATAAATGAATTCTAGCTGAGCTTTGTATTTTACAATTTTGACGAGTTCACTGCATACATGATTTACGATCCTGTCTTTCAATTTTCAATCTGCTACGGATTTCGAACAGATTTATACCTACAGATTATATAGGTTAAGGTATTAGCTGATATTGTTTCCTTGACATTCTTATGCTGGACTTTGGTCAAGATCTCCAATGTTATCATGTTGCAGTGCTATGACTGTTTTCCCTAGTACTAGTATGCTCACATGCAGTACCTGTTCAATTCCGCGCACCCCTTTCACCTCTCTGTATCGAGCGAATCTCTTGAACGAGGAGGGGACAAGAGCATTGTACTGGGTGATTTGGAACTTTCTGGGAGTCGTGTCTTTGGGTATTGTAGGCGGATTATAGCTGATGAAGTGGAGGGGGTTATGCGTAAGATGAGCAGGGGCAAAGGGACCGGGCCGGATGAAATTCCGGTAGAGTTTTAGAAGAGTGTGGGCAAGGCAGGCTTAGAGTGGCTCACTAGGTTATTTAATGTCATTTTTAGAACGAAGAAGATGCCCGAAGAGTGAAGGTTGAGCATGGTGGTTCCTATATACAATAACAAGGGTGATATCCAAAATTGCAATAACTATCGAAGTATCAAGCTGCTTAGCCATACTATGAAAGTTTGGGAGAGAGTGGTGGAGCTAAGGGTGAGGAGGAGTGTGTCTATTTCCGAAAATCAGTTCGGGTTCATATCGGGGCGTTCGACTACAGAAGCTATCCACCTTGTTAGGAGATTGATGGAGCAGTATAGGGAGAGGAAGGACTTGCATATGGTGTTCATCGACTTAGAAAAGGCGTACGATAAAGTTTCGAGGGAGGTTTTGTGGAGATGTTTGGAGGCTAGAGGTATACCCGTTGCCTACGTTAGGGTGATTAAGGACATGTATGATGGAGCAAAGACCCGAGTGAGGACGGTGGGTGGAGACTCGGACTATTTTCCGGTAATGATGGGGTTGCATCAGGGGTCGGCACTCAACCCTTTTTTGTTTGCCCTGGAGATGGATGTACTGATGCGCCACATCCAAGGGGAGGTGCCGTGGTGCATGCTATTTGTAGATGATATTGTATTAGTNAGGGGGATGAGGAGATTGATGAAAATGACACACATCGTATTGGGGCGGGATGGATGAAATGGAGACCCGCTTCCGGTGTTTTATGTGACAAGAAGGTGCCACCGAAACTTAAAGGTAAGTTTTACAGAGTGGTGGTTAGACCGACGATGTTGTATGGGGCTGAGTGTTGGCCAGTCAAGATCGCTCATGTCCAGAAGATGAAGGTAGTAGAGATAAGGATATTGAGATGGATGTGCGGGCACACCAGGTTAGATAGGATTAGAAATGAGGTTATTCGCGACAAGGTGGATGTGGCCCCTATTGAGGACAAGATGCGGGAAGCGCGGCTTAGGTTGTTTGGTCATGTGAGGAGGAGCACAAACGCCCCGGTGAGGAGGTGTGAGAGGTTGACATTGGAAGGCCTATGGAGATGTAGAGGTAGGCCAAAGAAGAGGTGGGGAGAGGTGATTATGCAAGACATGACGCAGCTTCAGCTGACCAAGGACATGACCCTTGATAGGAATGTATGAAGGTCGAGGATCAGAGTAGTAGAGTAGGTAGTCTAGAGTGTTCATAACAGTAGTATTGTCACGCAATCTCGCTTTCTGTTGGTAGTAGGTTTTTATGACTAACCGTTATTTTCTTTCATTGTTGATCACCTTACTATCTTGTTGTTTTTATTCTGCTTTTATATGGTTTTTTGGTGCTGTCCCTTCTTGTCTATATTTTCATTAATGTGGTGCTTATGCTTTCCTCATTGAAAACGGCCTCTCTATCCTCACGAGGTAGGGGTAAGGTCTGCGTACACACTACCCTCCCCAGACCCCACAGTGAGGGATAATACTAGGTATGTTGTTGTATCGAGCGATAAGCGATTTGCGTACTTAGCCTTCTCTTGAAGTAGCTAAATTGCTCTGGGCTATACAACTATGCTAGCCAGTTTTCGGACTGGTCATTCAAAAATAGCCAGCGTTTGCAAAGTTATTGAAAAATAGTCACTATTTTGCTGCAACACGAAAAGTTCCAGCATAATATACTGGAGATCGATGCACCTATGTATGAACATCTATCATATTATGTTGGATCGGTATATTATACTGGAACTCCAGTATAATATGCTGGAGTTCCAGTATAATGTACTGGAGTTCCAGTATACTTATGCTGGAACTCCAATATACTTATGCTGGAGTTCCAGTATACTTATGCTGGAGTTCCAGTATACTTATGCTGGAATTCCAGTATATTATGCTGGAGTATTTTCCGGATTTTGAACAGTGTTTTCGTTCAAATTTATCTTTACATGTAAAGTGGTTTAATTTCGATTACTTTTGAAACTGTGGCTATTTTTGAATGACCACTTGTAAATCTGGCTATTTTTTAATTTCTCCCTTAAAAATAGCACGGGCTAACCAGTTTTCGGACTGATCATTCAAAAATAGCCAGCGTTTGCAAAGTCATTGAAAAATAGCCACTATTTTGCTGCAACACGGAAAGTTCCAATATAATATACTGGAGATCGGTGCACCTGTGTATTAACTTCCAGCATATTATACTGGACCGGTATATTATACTGGAACTCCAGTATACTTATGCTGGAGTTCCAGTATAATATGCTGGAGTTCCAGTATACTTATGTTGTAACTCCAGTATAATATGCTGGAGTTCCAGTATACTTATGTTGTAACTCCAGTATAATATGCTGGAGTTCTAGTATACTTATGCTGGAATTCCAGTATATTATGCCGGAGTATTTTCTGGAATTTGAATAGTATTTTCGTTCAAATTTATTTTTACATGAAAAGTGGCTAAATTTCGATTACTTTTGAAACTGTGGCTTTTTTTGAATGACCATTGTAAATCTGACTATTTTTAAATTTCTCCCCCTAATTTGCTCTTTGGTTTCAACTGAGAGTTTTTGTCGCTTCGCGGACATTCGGTAAAAAAAAAAAAGAAATTTAGTTAGTTAAAGATGTTTCTTGCTTCTTACATTTAAGAATAGGTTTAGCTTAGCGGTCAATGATGTGGGTGAAAAACACAGAGGACTAAGGTTCAAATTCTTGTGGAGACAAAAACCGATCTATAGCTTCTTCCCATCTGCCTAAACCTTGTGGGTAGATTTACTTGATATTGATGCTGGTTAGGTATCTGGCAGAATGGTCAAGGTGAGCGCAAGCTGTTCAGACATCGACATTGTCAAAAAAACAAAAAAGAAGAAGAATATGATTTACCAGTAGGCCTTATGTCACGGCATTAAAGAGCAAGAATATGCATTTGAACAGAGATTGATTAGATGAACCTCCATTTTGGTTATTCCCTAACCACAAAATCTTTTTTGTAACTACAGTATCTTTTCTGGAGTTTTAGAAGTTTTCAAAATATATGCCTCACAAGTTCATCAAAAACGAAAAAGTGATAAACATACTCGAGGCTTTCTGTCTCGGGTCAGTTTACTTTCAAACTACTCTAAGGTGTGTAAGAATTTTTAAACATTCATAGATTGCAAACATTCCGCAATATGTATCATGCACTATGCATATACATAATTTTGTTATCTTAAAACTTCATAAGTTTCACAGTTATAAACCTAATAAGAAGGCTATATCATAAAATTTACCATGATTGATGTCAAATTCTCGATAAGTTCGATGGATAGCTAACTTTATGCTTCTTGATCAAACTTGAGAAAATTTTAATCCCTCAATTTCAATTTATATGAGGTAGTTTGATTCGGCATGAAATTTAAGAAAGAAAAAAAAGATTTTTGAAACTTGTGGAGTTAAAAGTTTAATGGGTAAAAACTTGTAGGGCTATAATATTTGTATAATTATAAAAAGTTCTCATTAAGAATAAGATGAAAAGTTTATTAAATTATTTTCAAATAGGAAAACATGTCATTCTTTTTTGGAACGAAATAATAAAGAAAGTGTGTCACATAAATTGAAATGAAACTGAGAGAGTAACTTTCTTCTCTTCACCCTCTCCTTAGATAAAAATATATATGATGGTGAACTTTGTTTTTTCTTAGGTAGAAAGAGAACCAGGTTTCATTAGTTTTACATTAGTTACCCACTTCTCCAAAATTACCACTTCTAAGATTTTAGTTTTTAATATTTAGTTAGACTAATTAAATAATGAGGTAATTAAAATAAGATAGATGCAAGTGTTGTACAACTATTAGTAAATGTGGATGTCCACTACTTCCACTACTTTCACCCATGATATAAATAATGTCTCACTATTCATCACTATTATGATTGTAACTCTCACACCTCCACAACCCCTCCCCATGATCTTCCCCCGCGATCTCAATTGTTAATGTCATATTTAAGACAATCATTTTATAACCTTCTATGTAATAGTATAAATAGAGGCATGAAATATGAAATGTGATATGAGACACACTTGAACACTTGTTGAAATAAGAAAGTTATCCCTTCTTCTCTTATTCTATTACTTATCTTTTTATTTTATATTGTTACTTTGAGCTATATTTTTTAATACGTTATCAGCACGAATTCTCTAACTTCGGGATTGAATTCCACTTGCAATGTATATATCTACAACCTACTGTTTAAATTATCAAATTGTTGCTACACATTTCTTTTATGTGGAATCTACTTCTTTTGGATTTACTCAATTAGCATTATGTATTGTCTCGTAAAAGGGAAAGATGACAATTATACTGAGTGTATTCTTAATGCCTAAATATGTTTAGTTTATAAACATAATAGTAAGCCGTATCTGGACACATACAATTATCTATTGTATGTTTAATGCCAATAGTTCACATGTTTGTCGGATTGGTTTAAGGGTGTC